AGCTCACAGCAACCTCCAACTCCTGGGCTTAAGTGATTCTCTTGCCTAGGCCTCCCAAGTAGCTAAGAATACAGGCGCCCGCCACAACACTTGGCTATTTTTTGGTTGTAGTTGTCATTGTTGTTTGGCAGGCCCGGGCTGGATTCGAACCCACCAGCTTTGGTGGTATATGTGGCTGGCATCTTAGCCACTTGAGTGCCAGGCACTGAGTCTTTTTTTGTTGTTTTTTTTGAGACAAAGTTTCACTATGTTGCCCTCAGTAGAGTGCTGTGCCATCACAGCTCACAGCAATCTCAAACTCTTGGGCTTGAGCAATTCTCTTGCCAGTCTCATTCTCCCAAGTAGCTGGGACTACACACAGCCGCCACAATGTCTGGCTATATTTTGGTTACAGTTGTCATTGTTGTTTAGCTGGCCCAGGGCCTGTTTGAACCCACCACCCTTGGTACATGTGGCTGGTGCCATAACCACTGTGCTATGGGTGCTAAGCCATATCTCAGGTTTTTGGGGGTTTTTTTATTTTTTTGAGACAGTCTCATTTTTTTATTTTTTTGAGACAGTCTCACTCGGTAGAGTGCCGTGGTGTCACAGCCCACAGCAACCTCCAGCTCTTGGGCTTAGGCAATTCTCTTGCCTCAGCCTTCTGAGTAGCTGGAACTACAGGTGCCCACCACAACACCTGGCTATTTTTTTGTTGCAGTTTGGCCAGGGCCAGGTTCGAACTTGCCACTCTTGGTATATGGGGCTGGCACCCGACTTACTGAGCCACAGGTGCCATCCCCAGCTATTTTATTATTGCAGTTGATGTTGTTTAGCAGGCCTGGGCCCGGTTTGAACCCGCCTACCTCAGTGTATGTTGCTGGTGCCCTTACCCACTGAGCTATGAGCGCTGCCATATCTCAGGTTTTTTACTGATCCTACTCCCTGACCCATGCTGCAGCCAAGTTATCTATCTGGTTTCTATTAATAACTCCCCCTCTCGTGTTGGAAAGGATGCTCCTTTCTTTGCCAAAGTCCCACTCCCACTTCACTAGGGGCTCCCTCTGGCCTTATAGTCAATTTAGGGATGCCTTTAGCATTTGGCCTCTCCTCCTGAAGCTTAGGCTGCTAGGATCCATGCCTATTACTCTAATTGACTCATGTCCTGTGCTAGCTCTGGTGTACCAGGATCCCGTCTAACAGGAGTATAAAATGAAGTGTGTAACACAGTCTTCTTTCCCCTTTAGGAAGGACAGGTGTAGCAGGCCAAAGGGAAGAACATATACCTAGGGTGATCCTGAGGGTTTGAGTAGGTGAGGTCTGAGGAGGAAGGTAGGAACCCTACACCTAGTAGTACCTTCCCATGGGTGACCAGCAGCTCCTGAATGGGCTCCCCCTGGCTGACCGTGGCATCAAGGATGGCTTGCATGTTCAGCTTCTCCAGGTTCTCGTGCTGCTGATTCCACCTGTCCCAAAGGGTGTGTAGGTGCATTTGGGTGCATATGTGTGCATTAGGAGTAAGGATAGGGGCTGAAGAATCCTATTATTAAAGTATAACCGGATCCTGAGGGCCTGGGAGCCATACCCCTCTATCAGAGAGCTTTGCCTCCCCACTTGGGGGCTCTTCCATACTGGGTAATCCCTCCTCCCAAGGAAGGCCCAAGCTTCCCCAGTCAAGGACAATGACCCTGTGACAATGTCTGACCCAGGTGCCTCACCCTTCGGAGCCCATCTCTCGTAGCGGGAAGCTACGTAGACCCCGCACCAACACATCAGCTTCCCCAGGAAGTAGCAGCTCCAGGTCGCCCATGTCTGGGCTGGTGTGCAGTTGAACTCAAGCAGCAGCCAGGGCAGGGCTGCAGACACACTCAGAGACGGCCGACTCTGGCTGGGCTGACGTCTGGTACAGGACGGTTGTGGAACAGTTGGGGTTCCGTGTGTCTTCATCGCCATGGAAACGGGATAGCCTGCGCGCCTGCGCAGTGCCCCGCCCCTGCCCCTGCCGGCAACTTACTCCCGACCGGTTTCCGGGCTGAAAATAACAATTTTGTTTGGATTCACAGATCTTTCGCTTTCACAATAGGCTGGGGCGCACGAGTCTCTCCTGAGCTCCAGACCCCAGTGGCCTAGAGTCTCTCCTCGGATGGCAAGTCAGCAAAGGGATTGTAGTAACCCTGACACCTCTCCAGCTCTTCTGGAAGCCGAGTCTTCTTGGCCCACTCAGTGCTCTTCGGCATGGCTTGCTAGTTCCCACGTTTCCAGTAGTTGGCTGTACTCCCAAAACACTACCCAGAATTCACAACTTCTATCTGAATCCATACTGCATTACTTATCTTGTGGTAACAGCAGTTAGCGGCCTTTTACTGGACCCACTTCCTCCCTTGACCTTAAGGAGCAGCCAGGAATCTCAAAGGTGTACATAACACATTATTGCTGCCTTGTAAGAGAGGGACTCTGGCTACCTCTAGCCTTCAAAATTCTAGTTCTGAAGCTGCAGCCCCGCAGCTCTGCAGGATCTACGTCTTACCCGTTCTCCTAATTTGGGACTTCAATTCCTTCTCTTTCTCCCCTTTGCCGACCCTATAAGCCTACCTTTGGTTTATCATACATCCCAGAGAACGTCTTGCCTCAGTCTTTTGAATATACATCCTCGCCTGGAATACTTTTTCCTTCTAGGCTCAGTTTATGTCATCTCAGTGAGGCCTTTCTCAGCCATCTAATCCAGAGGCCTGTTCCCATTGC